TCCGCCCAGCCTTGGGTGCCGATGCAGTACCCGCCGGCGGCAATGGTGATGCAGCACGGGATGATGCCGCCGGCGATGCATTACATGTCCCCGCACTACGTGCCCTACCACCACCACCACCACCTCCCACCGCCAATGGCGCCGCCGCCGCATGGAGGGAGGAGCAACGGAGGGGGCTCTAATGAGGAGAACAACACGATCTGGGTGGGCGATCTTTATGGCTGGATGGATGAAGATTATCTCCGTAACTGCTTTGCTTCCACTGGAGAGGTATATATGTCTCTGAATCTTAGTGTGTTTTTTGCTCCTTACTATTTGCTAATTGAGAAAGTTATGTTTGTTAATAATCTAATTGTGGAGGGCTATTTGTTCTGGCCATGGGCTTTCAGCTTTCATGTTTTTTATTTATTTTTTAATAATTGATTTTACTGAATGATGTGATTTCGATTCCTCGCGAAGTTGAAGTTTGAATAAAACTGGTGTATTTAATTGGAAAAGAAAGTTGTTTCACTGTAACATTGATGATGATTAAGACGCTACATACTCTGTTTTAGGGGAAAAGATTTAATTTTGCAGAATTATTTTCGAACTCTTGTTTCATTCTGTTGGATGATTGACACATGTATAAATGCGACGGCATTGTTAGCACGTGTCATGGAATGAAACATGATTGTGGAATAAGAAATCTCATTCCGTGTTTTAGGATATGGTGTGTGCATTCAAATATTCAATCACTGAAAGTTGTATGAGATTGTTCTGCAGGAAGGTGTTGATCATAAAGTACTGTTTCTGTTTAAAAAGTAATATAAATAGTAGTTAAAGCTATAGAGGTATTAAATGTATGTTGGACAATTTTTTTACCACAATTGTGCATTATAATTATTAATGCACATATAAAGTAAGGTCCAAAACTCTTAACTGCAGTGATTTACATGTGTTTTGATGGATAATTATCTTAATTGTCATTGGATATTTGTCACATTATTATTTTTGGTATAAGGTGGCATCGTTAACCGGAAGAATATATATTTTAGAATGAAATCTTACAAGTTGAATTATGGACCCTGATTGCACAACTACATTATGAAGGAATTTGGTAAGTTGTTTAGGTGCATCTAATTTGCATGAGATTCTTTTTATGAGTAGACTTTTGAGTGCTTGCTAACATGTAGAATCTATAAGTAGATTATGCTTATGAATATTTTTTCAAAAACTATTAATTTTGTATGGAACCTCTTTTTCTTATACCATTAATCGATCTTCACAATTTTTGTATGAGATTCTCATAGTAATTGATGTTTTTATTGATTTGTAATCCTAACTGTTAGTTTACAACATCTGCACTGTAGGATAAGGGAATATTTAAACCTTTTAGCTCTTACTTTATCTTTTTTGGCATTTTGGTGTTTCTGGATCAAGGGGCATATTTACTTCCTACAGAGGCATGATATGTAATAAGGACTAACATTGAATAGTTAGTGCATAGTTGTTTTCATACTTTCTAGTGCAAAGAAATCGTGATAATAGTCTTAGATGTTAAACATAATTTAAGTCCTTGAATATTACATATGATAGCAGAAGAAATATGCTATTCTTTATATGCGATTTTGATGGACCTGCTTATTTTTCATTCATACATTAGCCGGAAATCATTCTACATAACCAAGTTTTCTAATATATCTGGACTTGATTTGAGCAGTTTTCTTCTTGCGGATACTACAGGTGACATCACTTCAAGCAATGACAAAGTGAAATATATCCTGCACATTTTTTTTATTTTTTTTTTTGTTCTTTGAACAACACC